CAGAGGGAGAGGCAGAGGGAGAGGCAGAGGGAGAGGCAGAGGGAGAGGCAGAGGGAGAGGCAGAGGGAGAGGCAGAGGGAGAGGCAGAGGGAGAGGCAGAGGGAGAGGCAGAGGGAGAGGCAGAGGGAGAGGCAGAGGGAGAGGCAGAGGGAGAGGCAGAGGGAGAGGCAGAGGGAGAGGCAGAGGGAGAGGCAGAGGGAGAGGCAGAGGGAGAGGCAGAGGGAGAGGCAGAGGGAGAGGCAGAGGGAGAGGCAGAGGGAGAGGCAGAGGGAGAGGCAGAGGGAGAGGCAGAGGGAGAGGCAGAGGGAGAGGCAGAGGGAGAGGCAGAGGGAGAGGCAGAGGCAGAGGCAGAGGCAGAGGCAGAGGGAGAGGCAGAGGGAGAGGCAGAGGGAGAGGCAGAGGGAGAGGCAGAGGGAGAGGCAGAGGGAGAGGCAGAGGGAGAGGCAGAGGGAGAGGCAGAGGGAGAGGCAGAGGGAGAGGCAGAGGCAGAGGCAGGCTGCTGCTGCTGCTGCTGCTAGCCGCCCTGGTGGCACTAATCTCCCCGTCCCATATATGTTTCGTTTGGTTTCGCACCTCGCGTGTGGCCTCCCACTGGTTCGTGTGTGCAGGTTGGCGGCCAGGAGCACTTTTACCTGGAGCCCAACAACTGTGTGGTCATCCCGCATGAGAATGACGAGTTCACTTTGTTCAGCTCCACGCAGGTGGGTGGAGGGGTTGGGGTGCGGGAGGAGGTGGAGGGGTGCGGGGTGGGGGGGTTGGTGGGCGGCTGGGTGGCATACCCGGTGCAACTACGCGCATATCTTACGTGGTGAGTCACGGAGTGTGCGGAAACCCCCTGTGTGTGTGCACCCCTCGTTGGTGCGGTGGGGGCCCAGTTGACACCCCGGGATCAATGAGGGTGAATGCATACACAGGTTTTTGTCGTTCCGCCCCCTCCTTCCTTCTGCTGTTCATGGGCAGAAAGCAGTTGGTGCTTTGGACGTAGGCAGCTGCTACCCTTTGCTGCGTCTTGCTAGTGATTACCTCCTTCCTCCTCCGCCCGCTCTTCCCCCTCTCTTCCTCCTCCCGCCCGTTTCCCCCTCCCTCCCGTTTGGACGCCGGGTGTTTTTTTCCTGGGTTTGTTCCATATGATTCCCTCTCCCTCCCGTCCCGCTCCCCATGTTTTTTGTCCCCGCACAGGCGCCCGCAAAGCACCAGAAGTACGTCGCGTTGGTGCTGGGCGTCCCCGCGCACAAGATCGTCTCCAAGGTACGCGTCCCGTTCCCTTCCAATCAGTCGGTCGGCTGGGTTGGGTCGGGCCGGGATGGCTGGCTGCAAGGTTTAGAGGACACATGCTCGAAAGTATGTTGGAAGGAAGGTGCCATGCCTAGCTCACCGTGCTGTCGGTTGGAAAGCGATGCCGCTCACCCTCGCCACGATAGGCGTCAGTATGTTGGCCCTTCGCTTCTTGCATCGTATGATCTAACCTCACCCAGCACGGCGTTGTGTGTGTGTAATGTGTGTGTGATGTCCACAGACGAAGCGTCTGGGAGGCGGCTTCGGCGGAAAGGAGACACGCGGCATCTTTATCCATTGCGCAGCTGCCGTACCGTCGTACCACCTAAAGCGGCCCGTACGGCTGTGCCTGGACCGCGACGAGGACATGCAGATGACCGGTGGGTGGTGGAAAGGTGGTTGGAGGGGTGGTTGGATGAGATTTCCACCGGCTGGTGTGTGGCCGCTTGTGCGGGTTAGTGGAGTTGGATGTTGGATGTATGGCTGGGTGGTTGGGCGCGAGGGCGGCAGCGGCATGCTGATGTCGAGCTTAGGTGGATAGCTGTGAGCAAGTCCGTATATTCATGAGTTGGTTTGACTGGCAGCGGCGCATGCGCGGAGGAGGAGAACAGGGTTAGATTATATTTAGGGTTCCCGTAAGGGGACGTAAGAGGATCCTCCTCTTCCCCCTCCTCCCCTCTCCCTCTCCGCCCTCTCCCTCATCTTGGAGCATCCGTCTATGTTTTTTCTTCGCGTTGATCGTCTATGCTTCGACGTACCTCCTCTCCCTTCCTTATTCTAAGTGCGGTACTTTGGACGTGTTGTGAGTTGACCACCTTGCATCTCTTTTGATTCCCCTCCTCTCCATCCCTCAATATTCAGCCTGCTACCCTCCGTCCCTGTTTTTCTTCAGCCCGGGGCCCTCAGTTCCTCACTTTCCAACCCGGGCCTCTCCCCACCCGCAGGTCAGCGCCACGCCTTCCTGGCCACCTACAAGGTCGGCTTCACCGCGGATGGCCGAGTGCTGGCCGCTGAACTGGACCTGTACAACAACGCGGGCAACAGCCACGACCTGTCGCACTCAATCATGGACCGGGCGCTACTGCATAGCGACTGCGTTTACAAGGTGTGCGTGTGGTTGAGTGTGGGTGTGGGCGTGTGTTGGGGGGTTGCCCGTGTTTCCCTTGCGTGCCTCTGCAGTGCATTTCCCCCTGGGGACCCTCTGGCTTATTAACACCCCGCACAAGTGCCTACACCCCATACCTCGGGTGCTGTGTTGTAACTACCGCAATCATCACATACACCTTCGATTTTAGGGTTATCGTTGTACTTATTATATATTTTCGGTTCGGGTGTCTGGATTCTGCCTGGATACCGCTTTCTACACCTTATCCCGCCTCTAAGGTGCTAACCCCTTGGCTCTCTGCCCTCGGCTCCCCGAAACCCCCGGGGGCCACATACACACAGGTACCCAACATGCGCGTCCGTGGCCACATGTGCCGTACCAACCAGGCCTCTAACACGGCCTTCCGTGGCTTCGGCGGTCCCCAGGGCCTTATGTTTGCGGAGATGTGGATTGAGCAGGTGGGGTGGCCAGGGGGGTGGAGCCGCGGGGGAAAATGACGGTCCGGGGCGGCGGTGTGTGTGTGTGTGTGTGTGTGTGTCTCTTAAGGGCCTACATGCGGCTTGGGTGGTCTCTCCATCCTTGCATATCGTGCGTAGCTGCCGTAAGGGAACGAACGGAGTATGTCTTAGGGCGCTACCGGACTCAGGCATTCCCGTCCCGGTCTCCAAAAGAGAAGGAAGGCCTGCGCCCTCACGTCAACCCGCGCCATTATCCCCCACTCCCCCCAACACTCTATCCTCCAACCCAATTACTCGCAGATTGCCAAGACGCTGGGCAAGCCGGACGTGGAGGTGCGGACATTAAACATGTACAAGGAGGGAGACGTGACGCATTTTGGCCAAGTGCTGGAGCATTGCCGCGCCAGGGCCTGCTGGGAGACGGTACTGGGCTCGTCCAGCTTTACGGAACGACGGGACAAGGTCGCGGAGTTTAACAGCGAGAACAGGTGCGGGACGCACGGGAGGGGGAATTGAAGGGCGCGGGAGAAGGAAAAAAAAGGGGAAGATGAGCACGGGGATGGGGAAAAGCGGTGGGGGAGAGAGGACGGGTGTGTGGTGGTGGGCATGGATGGCGGGATCGGGGCTGCCTTGGCGAGGGTGTTTCTGATGGGGGGCGTGTGGCGGTGGTGCTGGTGGCTGCTTGCGGACGGACTTTTGGAGGTGCGCGGTGTGCTGTGACCCACCCCGCAGAGGTTCCTTAAGATATACCCAACTGCACATGCCCCGTCGGGCCGCGTCTGTACGCTTGCACTTCGCCCACTGCTGCCACAACCGGCCCCTCCCGTCCCCTCCGCCCTCCCACACGCCACGTCGCGTTACGTCACGTCGCGGTGGTGGCGGCGCAGGTGGCGCAAGCGCGGCATTGCGGCCACTCCCACCAAGTTTGGCATTTCCTTCACCACCAAGTTCCTCAACCAGGCGGGCGCTTTGGTGCACATTTACCTGGACGGCACGGTGCTGGTGACGCACGGTGGTGTGGAGATGGGCCAGGGGCTGCACACCAAGATGGCGCAGGTGGGCGTGTGGGTGTGGGTGTGGGTGTGGAGGGGGAACCGGGCTGGGCCACATTGCTGGGGGCATTTGCAAGGTGGAGGACAGCATTTGCCCTTACAGGTGTATTTTGTCAAGATCAAGGAGGTGGTGGCAGTTTGCTGCTTTTGGACTTAGGGTTTATCACACACACGGGACAGGACTTGCTTGTTCATCGCACACGCACGCCCTCTTGTTTCAGCAGCTGTTCATCCCCTTCCTGTGGTGCTTTGGAAGTCGGCGGTTGTTTCTTTGGCTTTTGCATCATCACCACTGAATTCACCCATTCTCCCCCTCCTCATCCTTTTTCTTGTCAGGTTGCTGCTCAGGCTCTAAACGTCCCGCTGTCCAAGGTATTCATCAGCGAGACCTCCACCGACAAGGTGCCGAACGCCTCACCCACAGCGGCGTCGGCTTCGTCGGATATGTACGGTGCTGCCGTATTGGACGCCTGCCGCCAGTTGAGCGAGAGGCTGGCGCCGTACAGGTAAAGGAGGAGAGTGTTTTAGTGTGTTGATGCAGGGTAGCAGGGAACTCCGCCGTATTGCTGTACTGCGTATATGTGTGTGCGCGTGCATTGCAACTGTAGTAAGCCGTGGCTGCCTAAGCCCCATAACTATAAAACCGGTATGTACGCGACTGAAAGCGAATAACTATCTAAATGCTTGGCGCAACACGTTTTCGGGTTCACGCGGTCTCCATCCCAACCCCCTGGCCCTGCATCCTACCTGCGACTTTGCTCCGAAACCACGCGGTACACCTCACTCGATGCATGCCCCCGCCCCATTCAACAATTCCCCCTGACTCCCCCTGCCCTCTCCCTCTCCCCCCGCCCTGCCACCCCCCTGCCACTCCTTCCCCCCCCTCCCCTCCCCTCCTGCCCCTGAGGTCCAAGCTGCCCAGTGGCACTTGGAAGGAGGTGGTCAACGCCGCCTACCTGGACCGAGTGGACCTCTCAGCTCACGGCTTCTACGCCACTCCGGACATCACCGGCTTCGGAGGCAACCGCCCCTTCAATTACTTCTGCTTTGGAGCAGCCGTAAGCGAGGTGAGCTGCGCGAGCATAGGAGGGTTGGGCTGGAGCGGGGCTGGAGGGGGGCTGGGCAGGGAGGGGCGGGGCGGGGCGGGGGTGCCCTCCAAATCAGCCGAAAGGACTGTGTCCGAATTTCCACTAGCTTCCAAGGAAAATCCCGCTACCTTGAAGAGAAAAATTTACCTGAAAATTTTAAGGGACTGGAATTTGAAATGAGGGGCGGAAAGTCTGAGGAGGGAAGGGGAGGGAGCTACGGGCAGCGCTCAGGGTGGGGCTCCCCGAGCTGGCTGGCTGGCTGCTGGACCGCCTCAGCGCTAAGCTAGCTCCTAGTGCTATTAACTAGCACTATTATTACTACCCCATGTGCTTTGCTTTCCTCCCCCCTGACAGTCAAGTGTTTTTTCCCTGGTCGCCCCTTGGCAGGTCGAGTTGGACGTGCTGACTGGCGACATGCAGGTTCTCAGGTCGGACCTAGTGATGGATGTTGGCAACCCCATCAACCCCGCCATCGATATTGGACAGGTGCGTGGCGATTTTGGATGTGTGCCAATTTGGGTTCTTTTTGTGGGTAGGGTTGGGGTTTGGGTTGCAGGTGGATGGAAGGTGACCTTTTAGAATTGTCCGCCGCATTTCCATGATCCAGCAGTTGTTGGTCTTCGCATAGTCTCTCTCTTCTCCTCATTACACCTCTCTTGTCTCTGTCGCGCGCGCAGCGCGCCATCCCCTACATATGTCCGTGGCCTTGTCCTATCATGTTCCTAGTCGTTATGGTCATTCGCTAGGCTCTCTCAGTAATGCCTCTGTGGTGGCCGCTGCAGGTGGAGGGCGGCTTCGTGCAAGGCATGGGGTGGCTAGTGCTCGAGGAGCTCATGTGGGGCGACAAGTGAGTATGGGATTGCGTGCCTGTGTGTGTTTTCTTTACCTACTATGTATACGAATGTATTTAGATATGGATAGATATTTATAAGCAGCACTTTATATATACGGCATAGGAAATACGTATCGGCTTACGGTTTTTCGACTACTAGTGTTTCAATCCTTCATCTTTTTCTCTACCCTTGTTTCTTCTTCCCATGGTCTTCTCTTCCAGCGTTCTCACACCAAGCCCTGTCTTCTGTCCTCCCCGCATCGCCTCCCCCGCAGGCAGCACCCTTGGGTCCGGCCCGGCCACCTGTTCACGAAGGGCCCAGGCACCTACAAGATCCCCTCCGTCAACGACATCCCCGTCGACTTCCGAGTGCAGCTGCTGGCCAATGCGCCCAACGTGCGAGCCATTCACTCCTCCAAGGTGGGGCCGGGGGGGCCCGGGTGGAGGGGGTTGCGGTGTGGGATAGAAATGGAGCGGTGCGGAGCAATGTGGAGCGGTGCTTGCAAGGAACGCAGTGGTGGAGGGTTGTACATGGTGTAACTGATGCATGATGCACGGACTAGGCGGGGGTGGGCAGGGTCTGCCACTGCATTGCCTCCGTGCCAACAGTACTACTTAACATCAGTAATGTGTGTCACTTCATCACTCACCCGCCAGCCAAGGTCCCTACTCCTGTCCGGGTGTGGCTGACTGAGCCGCAAGGAGTTATTCCATCGCTTAGGGACCAGTGGAGTGTTTGTGTGCGTATGGATGTGTGGATGTATGGATGTGAGGCGGTGTGGGGGTTAGCAGTCTTGGCGGGAGCTATCAGAGGTTGCGGGCTGCAGTAAATGGCAGCTTTTTTACGTTTGCTGTGTACCGGATATGTGTGGAAAGGATCTTATCGGACAGGGCCTTTCCCTGCCGCCGCAACGTGATACCATGCCCCCTCCTCGCTGCTGCATGATGTTCATCATCGTACCAGCGTTGCTCTGCATGATGTGACCCGCGCATTTTGTCCTCCGCAGGCTGTCGGTGAGCCGCCATTCCACCTGGGCGCGTCCGTGTTCTTTGCCCTCAAGGTAGGGATGAATGGCTCGAGGCCAACTTCTGTTAGAACTAAATTTCACCGCACAGCTCGCAGGTATAAGGCGACATCCAGCACCAAACTTCCCAAACCCCATAACATACACTGTAAAAACCAGCCTGAAACAACCAGCCAGGTCCCTGTCCTGGATAACTAACCCACCCTTCCGACGGTATCCGTTGCAGGAGGCGGTGTACGCCGCGCGCGAGGCTGCCGGCATCAAGGGCTTCTTCGTGTTGGATGCGCCTGCCACTCCGGAGCGCCTGCGCCTGCTGTGCTCAGACGAGGTGGTGCAGCCGTACGCGCATCCCGACATCAGGTGCGCAGCATTGGCCGATGGCCTGTGGCTGATTGTGCTGGGACAAGAACACTGCAACATTACTGCAACTTGCAGGGCAGGGTCCTTCCCGAGTCACGGCGAATCCTCATCTAGGCGGAACGGAATGCCGCGCGTCTGTGCTGTCGCGAATGAGGGGTTAAGCTAGGGTCTCTTTCTGGTCACTGGAGTCGCCTTTCCGGCGATAGGGAACTCCCCCTATTCATCTTCCCGGGAGGTGTGGGGGAGGTGGCAGACGAGTGGCCAGCAGGACAAGACGAATGGGTTCCCATGTTCGTTCCGTTCCCTTCAGGGCGGCATATGCGGTGCCCTTTCAGCGCTATGATTGCGCTATTGGTTGCTCGTTGCAACCTCAAGCCGCCACCATGCATCCTTAAAATTGCACGTACGGATATTAGTGGCTTGAGATATTCTCAAGACGGCAGCAGTGCCGCGCTCTTTCCTCTACATACCTTGCTCTAAACCTCCATATATATGCGTGTGTGTAAATATGTTTTCTCCTTTCGTGATGACGCTCACTTGCTCTCATGTACATAAACTGGCACTGCGTGTGTAGGCCCAAGATCAGCTGCTGACGGGAGACATGATCCGGGCAAAGACGTGGAGCGTGATGCGGCTGCGGCTGCTGCTGCCGCTGCTGTTGGATGGGTGGATGCTGGCTCCCATTTCGATAGCTGCAGAAGTGCATGCAGCTATGTGCTGTTCAACCAAGATGCAGGCAGAGGATTCATCTGTCGTACATTTACCGCCGTACCTGCTTTGGATAATAATGTTAAAGCTCGGCATGATAATGGTTGTGATGCGATGAGATTGGCGTATGGTGATTAATGATCACTTACGGTTATGGAGTTTGCGATTCTTGCTGATGCATCAAAGGAAAGGGCACGCAGAGGCTTTTTATCAGCCGTTTCAATTTTGAAGGCACAGTTTTATTATTCGCCAAACCTGGAGGCAAGGCAAGGCGTGAGCCATTTCCACCTCTTGCATGCGTGACCTGCGTATGGGTGCTTATCTGCTGATGCGTGTTTATCTCCAATACTTTTTGGTTGCGCGTGTTACCTGTACAGGGTGCGTGCTTCTGCTGGTGTACTCCAAGTAAGCGTTATATATGCACGTGCATATGTATGCACGGAGGGATGCCGTACAAACTCCTGTTCTCGTACGTCATTCCGGCTGGGTGGTACGTCGTTCGCTGCTTGATGGCCCTCGATGTAGACAGGTCCCCCCAAGCCCTTCACCCGTCGGCCTTTCCCTACTCCACTATTGAACGTTGGCCGCTAGCATCCAGGGATCTACATGCGCAGAAGTGCCATATTGGGCGCTTGTGTGGATGTGAGCTCGATGCGTTAAGATCCCGGATGTTTGAAAGCCCTTATTGCGCCATTGGAGTAGCGGCGGGCGCGTGCCTCTCATTCCGCCTTGTCAATTGTGTGCCCTTATTATGCCGCTACGGTCGGGGCGGTTTCGGAGTCAGCGGCTGCTGCCAGCTGATGATGATAAGCAAAACGGGAACGTGAATCGTTATCACACTAGTGTGTTCCGGGTGTGCTGATTGGTGGCATCGTCGCACTCCTGTCGAAGCTAAAGCTGGGCACCTTCACGGTCGCTCGCAGGTAGCAGAAGGCTGTGAGCCGTTGCTGTGCGCCGGAGCATTTTTGCTGTTCCGGGGACGAAGTTTAGGGTTTGTTATCCGCCGTTTGTTGCACCCAGGCATCCGGAATCAGCATGCGCGCTGTACGGGAGTGTACTTGTTTTGTACTTGATTTTACACGGCATGGTTTGATGTGTACCGGTAAATCAGTGACAGGAAGTGCGGGCGAATATACATAAGGTTGTCAGCCTTTCCTGCTGTTCATGTAAATTCACTCAGCTGTGAAACCACCTTTCACCATCGTCGATGAGCGGATCTATGTAAAGTACCTAAAGCAGAGCCTTTGACCTCGTTTTTATCCTTCGGGTTAAATGACTGCCTCTTATTCTCAAGTATTATTTGGTTCTTGCAAGCGCATTGCACTAGAGAAATGATGTTTCGGCCGGCAGTTTGACCTTCATTGTACAATTGACAGCTGCTTGTGCGCTGTTTAATCTGCCTGAGGGGGCGAGGCAGGAAGTCAAGCGATAGCAATAAGCAGAAAAACACAGTAGGTATCAAACACATGGAAAACTGGAGGAGATAAACGGCCCATGAACGGGCCCTCCTGGGCGCCACGGCCAGCGACAGACGAGAAGGGCTTGCACTCCATTTCTGAAGTAAGGAAAATCGGAACAGTTTTTCCAATCTTTGACAAAGCCTTCGTTGAAAGGGACTAGAGCCACTTGGGATGCCAGTTTGTATCATTCTAAGTTGAGTGAGTTAAGCAGGCTAGCCCGTCCTTTCTCGGGCGAGCCGTCCACAGAGTAGCACCCCTTCAACAATATCGCCTAAATAGCAACACAGTTCTGCAATCGCGCTCAATTTCCGTACGTTGTGGCGCGCATCATCGTGATGCGCCCCGTAGTGGCGCGCTTGCTGATTAACAACTAAAAATGAGAACCTAACGTTCGCAAAAATTTGAACATGGCAATGACTGAAGATCTTAAAGTACATTTTGAGATAGTCGTACATATATTGTTGTGTATTCAGTGCGGTAATCACTTACTGCTATTGCTGCTGTTTATGATATATGACCTAAAAGTAGAAATATCTGCTGACATTTCCGTAGAAGGCGCTATTTATGATAAATGTCCGGCCACTTGTGCAGCGCAAAGCAGTTGCACAGGCTGCTTGAAGTATTCGACATGACATTCACATTTACTCCATAGCTCTTATGGACTAAATACAGGCGTAAATTTCCGCCTGAGCCGCAACGGCGGCCGCAACGGCGAGAAGAACGCGCCGCCTGCCATTTGTGATATTGCTGAAATGGGTATTACGTCTTTCGGTAATGTACAACTAAGTTAAAAAAGCACGTCCAAGCCCTGCATTGCCATTGTAGGGCCTTAATCCCTGCGCTAATCCTCCTGGCCTTAGGGCGCATTTCCAGTGCGGATTACGGCTAGGGATTAGGGCACGGAAGTCCTTGGTACGAGCTTACCACATAGTTTTGTTCCATAAGGGAACCAAAGGTTGGTAAGGCGAGGTAAGTTTGCCAACAACTTAGCCGTTTGAGCAAGTATCGATGGAGGACAGAGGGTTAATCTCTGGCCTTAATCCGCACTGGAAATGCATCCTTAGAAATTGCCCAGGGTTACAGGGGATTAAGCTGGATCAGCGCGACCCTAATCCCGGACCCTTGATCTGCACTGGAAAAAGGAACTAAACAAGGAATCAACTTCGGGTAGCGCTGCTGCTGTCATAAGACGCCTGGAGCACGAGACCTAGCGGGTGCGAAGAGCGGAAGGAATCATTTCCGTAAAGCGAAACGTTTCCACCGCAGGTTCTCACGCATGGCAAGCCGGAAGGCATCCCTATGAGTCATGGGCGTTTCCCTATGAATAAAAAGAAACGTGCGACTCTATCTTTGCCCCCCCATTTTAGCAAGAAATTGATGTTGCTGTCCTAACCTTCCTTGTGGAGTTCATCAGCGAGCCAATCGATTTGTTCAATGAAATCGTTCGCCATCCAAGCGATCGGGAGAGGCATATCTTGGACACTATTAAGAGGCCCCGGAAGAACAGCAGCTGCAAGAGTGGGGCCCAGCCACCTGCTACAAGTACAAGGTGAGTGGCGCCTGCATGCATGGCAGGTACATACAGCGATGTGCACTGGCTAGGGTGTGTGCAGGAACCCAGTGCATGAGCATAGATGCCACTTACTTACAACCCGCCTGGTACTTAGCAGGTCTGCAACAGACAGTCCAGGTAGAGTTTGAGGAGGATATCCCCAAGCGTGATGACGCCACGGTCCATATTTTGGCCTTACCTATCCTATCACCTATCCTGGATCTTCACCTGACCTTATTAGGAGGTTACAGTTGGGGAATATGAAATCAAAGAGGCAGAACTGGTAGCCTGGATAGGTGCCCAGAACCTGCTCTTGGGCAGGGGGGTCGATGTTTGTCAATCTTTTGAACCAGCTGCACAGAGGCAAAATACCAGTCTGAAGCATCTGTGAGCAGCATTGTCACTGGATCTTGATTGGAGTTCAGGATTGCCAGCTCTAAAGCTGTTGCCATGGGCTGCCATATGTCGCGTTCTTAGTCCACCCTACTCTTCAGCTCCACGACCAACACTGTCTTCACCATGATGTCCTATAGGTTGTTATGCAGTGATGCTTTTGTTTCAGGGGGTATATGAAGAACAACAAACTCGGAACGACCTGCAGCATTCATCCGATGGGTAAAACAACATATGATAAGCCGGGTGTAGGGTTTTGGTGTGCATCACTGAGATTAAGTGTAGGAATGGCAATGGTACACCCAGTGTGATTAGAGAGTTCAGCGACATTAGGGTTTTGTAGTAGCTGGCCGCTGAAAAGGCCTCTCGAGATGCTGGTGGACATGCTTAGCGTGTATTTGTAGTTGTTCACGGTGTTGTATGGTGTGCCGGCTACTACAGGTTTACCTTGTGTTTAGGGTTCGGTATGCTCTGCACAGCAGAAAGTCCCGGGCCTGATCACTCTGAATTTCCCTAATCACTCTAATCACACCGGGATGTACCGCTGCCATTCCTACCCTTCATTTCAGTGATGCACCTGAAAACCCTAAACCAGGTTATCATCATATGTCGCATTACCCATGGGATGGAATGCTGCACTTAGTTCCGAGTTTGGCGTCCTCCACATACCGCTGGATCACAACCTGAAGGAAATTATGGTGAAGACAGTGTTGGTGGTGGGGTTGAAGAGAAGGATGGACTAAGGGTGCGACATATGGTAGCCCATGACAACACTTTAGAGCTGGCAATCCTGAACTGCAATCGAGAGCCCGTGACAATGCTGCTCACGGATGCTTAGGACTGCTATTTTGCCTCTGTGCAGCTGGTTAGAAAGATTGACAAACAATGGCCTCCCTTCCCAAGAGTGAGTTCTGGGCATGCGGTTACCAGTTCCGCTTCTTCTATTTCATTTTCTCCACCTGTAGTATCCTAACAAGATCCGGTAGTGGTCCAGGGTCGGTAAGGTAAGGCCAAAATTTGGACCGTGGCGTCATCGCGCTTGGGGATATCCTCCTCAAACTCTACCTGGACTGTCTCTTGCAGACCTGCAAAGTACCAGGCGGGTTGTCACTACGTGGCATCTATGCTCAGGCACTGTGTTCCTGCACACACCCTAGCCAGTGCACATCGCTGTATGTACCTGCCATGCATGCAGGCGCCACTCACCATGCTGCACAGTACTGGTAGCAGGTGGCTGGCCCCCACTCTTGCAGCTGCTGTTCTTCTGGGGCCTCTTCATTCGTATCATCTGCTGGACGTGCAGACTCGTCGGCAAGTGGGTCATCAGCGCCTGAGGACACATAACAACGAAGCAGATCGAATGCGCATGAAAAGCGGCAATCAAAAGGTCCGTACCGCCCAAGATAACCAGGAATGATGGGGCAGAGAATGGTGGTGGAAGGGGGCGGTATAGGAGCACGAGCAGCAAGGGCACGGCAGGTGAAGTGGGTCGAGTGTGGGTGGTGCAAAGAGGGCCGTGGGAATGGTGCATGTGGGGGTGGTGGCAGTAGAGGAGGTCGTGGAGGCAGGGCAGTAGAGGCAGAGAGATGCGATGCTTTTCCTGACGCTTCAATTCGTACTTTGTGACGGCCTGCAAAGTACAATCTGAAGTGCACTGTGAAGTGTGATATGAAGCAAGTGCGAAGTGGTTGAGAAGATGAATTGAAGATGATTCCAAGAAGATGCGAAGTACGTCCGTTCTGAGAGTGCAAGGGCGAGTTCTCAGCAGCAAGGCCAGTGGTGGTGATGTGGTGTATGAAAGCCACCTTCTAAGAATATACTCCTATAGCTGCTGGACAAGGCACTGTTGTGCTTCCACATGTCTGTGCGCCTCTTCTTGTAGTGGTAGATGGTTGAGCATCCCCGCCTAGGCACAAGACACATTTGCAGCAGTCCTCCGTTGACATAGAATGTTGAAAATGGGCTTGTTATTCCGATTCTATTGTGATGGCCTGCGTGATGGAATACCTAAAATACCATTAATTTTTTCTCAACAGATATGTCCTTAAGCATAGACTGTAGGTGTATGTATGTGCGTGTGCATGTGTTGTTGCACTCGAATGCCTGCAGAGGAGGACTACTCAGATGGTGTTCAGTGTGTCAGTGCATCATAGCGAGGATAGGGAATTCCTCCTGCTGTTGCTGTGGCGGCTGGATGCTCTATGGTCGCTATTGTTGCCGTCACAGGACGCCAACAGCTGCTGTCCGGAAGTGAGCGGAAGACATCCCTATCGAACGGGTTTATGTATAGGAAATGTAAATTGCCGTTGGTGGCCCTTGCTGGCGAAATTCCTAAAGAAAAATTGCCCTTGCGTCGTTTGGTGCAGTTGATGTCATTGAGCTAATCCGGCCTGGGGTGTATGCTGTTATGTTACAGCAATGCCGATGGATTTGCTGGCTAGGCTGCTGTGTGTGCGCAAGCAGGACGAAGTCCTGCTGGATTACAGCGTCCTCCTTTTCTCAGTAGATGAACGTGTTTTGGCGTGGATCTGATGGTCGAATCCTCCTCTTCCATTAAACGCCCCACCATCTCGACAGCTCCCAATGTATTTTGAAATCTTGCTTCTCAAGTCGTACGCTTCCTCAATGCGCCCGAGTCCTCAATAAAAAGAGCATCGCAGCACCGAATGAAAGCATCGCATCTGTATTGCGACAACCAAGCCAATCCATTAAAACGCACGCAATGCCCCTCCCTTGCAACAGCATGCAGGGAGATCGCAAAACCAACTCGAGTAATGCAACAGAGTTTGTACACGTCCGTCCAGCACTGCCTCCCAACATGTCTAGTAATTTTATGAACGGGTGGTACTCGCATGAATAACCCGTCATATGCCACACTTCCCTTTCCGGATGGATCACCACGGACACATCATCGAGACTAGAGAGTCACATGCTACTACGTGCTACAAACCTTCTACAGTTGTAGTGGTAGATTCGGTTTGCAGCGAGCCTCCGGTCAGTGGTCTCAAAAAATAACCATCTCCTCTCCGACCAATGAATCCCCACTGCTCTTTCCACCACGGCCATCACGGCGGGACAGGCTTCTGTTAGCTGGAACAATGTATCAAACAAGCGCCAAGTGTCGCACCTTGACTGCCCTGAGACGAGTGTTTAACCCACCAGCTAGTGAATTAAACCTGCATACATGCATACATACGGACTTGCATGCCCTTTCCCCTGGCCCCCCCACACACACATGCGCACATCTTCACAACACCGCGCTGCATCGCTCCACCTCTCGTCCCATCCTCCCTCCCAAGCCCCCATCGATTTGTTCAATTGCAATTCCTTTGCACACCCCGGCTTCCTCTTTAATTAATTCTCTCATTCAGCATTGCCTCGCTCATCACGTGCAACTATGGCCATAATACCAACCCAACCTGGGCTGCAGCTCAACTACCAAGCCCCTCGTTATCCAATACGATTAAAGCTTGAAATCGCAAAGACGGACCTTGTGAAAATCGGTTAATCACTCGGTCAATGTCATGGACTGAAACTCGTTCGACTGCTGTCCTCGCTCCCGCTTAGACACTGCTACTGAATTGCAGCGCGCTCTTGCTGTTTCCCGTCCTGCCGTGTAGAATTCCTGTCACATATCAGCAAGCAGGCAGACTGTGAAAAGCGTTTGCTTACGCATGCGTCCCTACTCCTCCCACGGAGCGACGTCATGCCGCGAGTTGGGGGCTGCTGTTACTGTTATCCGCTCTCATGCAAGCACCCTGGTTGTGGTCGTATAGAGGAATGCCACGACCGTGTACAGGACCATCCCAGTGACGGCCATAAGGATGACGTTGCGCAGCAGCAATGCATTGTTCGAGTGCGGCACGGCCGCATTCTTCAGCGTGTTGGTCAGGTCGAACAGGCGGTGGCTTACAAGGATGTACACTGCAAGGGCGTTTGGTGGGACAGCAGATTCCGGGTTGCAGTGGGGTCAGTTTGCAATTGCAGTTGCGGTTGCGGTTACGATTAACACAACGGTGATAGCGAGTCGTGATGTAGATCACATCACCCATGCATTTAAGGGCCGCGGCAAAGCACAAGGGTGCAGAACCAGGACATGGGGGCACATGCTGCAGCTACCGCAGAGTCTCATCTCACCACCAAAAGAGGGAAACACCTGCTAACTTGTTGCTTCAAGACTCGCAACGATAAGAGATAGCGACAGCATTGACGAAAGTGATAGCGACAGCGATGGCGCAAAGGAACACCCTAAGTCAAACGGGGCGGCCACACGACCAATGCATTGGGGCATTAGGGCGGCGGGAAAGCAGGCAGGACCAGCTGGCAGCAGACCGGCAGTCACACAACTACACAACGCAAAAGCGCCAAAAGTGCTCTTGTTGTGAGGTTCAGTGTTGCCGTGGAGACACGGGACTCACATCCTGATACGAGGGCGAAGTTGAGGAGCGGGTAGTCCGGGATGAGAACCAGCAGGCTCTTGGGCTGGCCGTCGGGAACGTCGGTCTTCATCCAAATGTGAAACTGTGCGTGCACCGAGCAGGGCGTAGGAGCAGGGGTAGGGGGGGTAAGGGACAAGAGGGACTGCCCGAGAATGTGTAGGATGGCGGAGAGCAATGGGGGGTGGCAAAGAGGCAGTCCTGGTCGGTGGCTTATGAAACACACGTGTAAACTTCCGAGCCAAGCAGCAGGATAATGATGATGATGATGTAGTACACACTGCCAAAGCACGCGTAAACATACAGATACACACACATACAGATACACGCTCCCAAGCCCTGACAACCACTCCCACGTATTCCTGCATAGCGATATATGCCAAGCGGGTGACAGCGGCAACTAGATATTAAACACTTATGTTGCATGTGCATCGGTAAGGTCGCCAGCGAGCTAGCAACCTAGGCTAGCAACCTAGCGATGGGAGACATCATAGTGGGGGATGTAGCGCATCGTGCGTCATGTATTTTACATATATGTACCACCGACAAGACAAAACTGCGCCATAAAGCTGCGCTATACGCACCTGGGAAATGTACGTCTCCAACGTAATGCACCCCAGCCAGCCGTACAACCGCAGACTATGAACTCGCAGCCAGGGAGTGATGTTACGGATAATGATCCACAACGTAATTGGAATCCAGGAGGTGTACGGATGTACGGTATTGTACTCGTACTTGGGCTTGCTGTAAACGGTGATGTAGTAGTAATAGCTGGCGACACCGCAGAGAGAAAGGATGATGGTGCGCGCAGTGTACCGCCGAATGACCGGCAGCTCGTCAATGTACTTCAGTACGGCAGCTGCCTGTTGTGTGTACGGGTGTGTGCACCACAGCAGCCAACAGAGGACCCAAATTACGAAGGTAGGTCATCATCAACCCTAATGACGCACCCACCCACACTCCCACCCACAACCCCCGAAAGCACGTGCGGACGACGTGGTGGTGGTGGTGGCGGGGTCACACGGGGTCAGGAAGGAGCCCAGTCACAGCTATGAGGGGTTGACACGGCGGGGGGGGAAACTGGCTGACCCAACACACCATCATGTTGTCGTCCGGAGAGAGACGACGAATCTAATGAAGCCCGCGTACGTGTTTTAGTGTGTGTATATGTGTGTATATGTGTGTGTAGGCATGTGTATTTGCACCCTAGCAATGGGAAAGAAAGGAAGGAAAAAAGAGACAGGGGGGAGAGAGTTCGAGAGAGACCAGGAGCAGTCAGTCCCTGTACACCTGAGGGTGGACCAGCGCGCACAGCATGCCGTACACCCAGATGTAGCGATCCAGTCCGGAGCGGAAGTACCACTCTGTGGTGTGCGAGGCGGACGGCGCGGGCGCGGGCGCGGGCGCGGCGGGAGGGGGTTAAGGAAGGAACGCGCGAGGACTGTCAAAAAAAAATAAAAAGGCAAAAGAACAGAGAAGTTATGACAGAGAAGTCCCTGTTTGAGTTAAAGAAATCTGGAAAGAGGAAAAGCCATGAGGCCAACGAGATCACATCGCTCCTATCAACGACCCAGTTAGTTGCCCTTATCCAGGAACCCCAAGTGCCAAGGAGCCCCATCCCCGCAGAATTACCCAGAATCCTGACCTCCAAAACTCCGGGAACCCCCAGGCCCCAAAACATACACACACATACACACCATGGAGCACATCCTCCGTGGGGTTGCGCGGGTCCGAGTAGCCCAAAATGAACTTGAAGGGCGACCAGATGGCGTAAAACACAAACTTGAGGTCCCAAGTCACAAAGATGAACGCAAAGCACAACAGAATCCTTCAGGAGGGTGCAAGACATATGGGGGAACGAGAGAGTGAGGGGGAGAGGGTGAGGGAGGGAGTGAGTTGAGAGGGAGAGGGTGAGGGAGTGAGTTGGGAGGGAGTGAGTGGCGAGGGAACCATGCAAAACCCAAACTCCTGCCCCCCCTGGGACACCCGGGACACCAAAAGACCCCAGTTGCGCCCCGGTTGACCTTCCAAGCCACAACTCCTATTTCCCCGCCTCCACGCGGCCCCAAACCCGCACGCCGCATTCGAGCGTCCCCGCACGGCCTCAGGACTTACTTGACAAACAGCCAGCCGTGGTTGACGTTCAGTTGTGGTGCGATGGCCAGGGCCAGGTACACAAAGACGGTGAAGATGGTGTGCATGGGACAGATGTAGTACAGCATGTAGCTGTTGCGAAGAACGACGCACGCGAAGAACACCAAAAAGTTGAGGCGCCAGAGCATCTGCGCAAACCTGGGATTGCTCGCACGAGGGGACCCAAAGGGCGAGGGCATAGAGGGCGAGGGCATAGAAAGCACCGGCGTCGGGAAAGGTACGACAAGGTAAGAAACGGGGTTAACAGCTGGTAAGGTAGGATACGTTTTTTAATTGGAACGACAGAGAAAATTTGCAGCGCGCTGCTCCAAAGAACAAAAGTTTACAATGGTGGATGCTATGGCGTCGTCTCAAACATTGTGATGTTGTGAGTCCATCGTCCTTTGTAATTCAGACACGAGGCTGAACATTTACAATTGAGGCGTATATGCAAAGGTGTACGGCACCATGACGCACCACGTAACGTCAGGTGCTATCGTGTCATCACGTCTCTCAATATGACACACACGCCACGTACCGGCCAATGCAGAAATCTCCCGTCTTGTAGTAGTAGGAGAAATTTCCAAAACCCGTCATCCAAACGTACGCGGCGATGAAAATGCGAATGGCGTTGTAAACCTCCTTGGCTTCAAAGTAGTGGTACAGCAGAAACAGAACCTACACACAGAAAGAATGCGATCGGCGGCGGCAGCGCGGCAGGACCCGGTCAGGTCAGGGGCTAGCGGGGAACAAGGGCCCAAAGCGGAAGGATGGGAACCAGGCAGAGCAAGCCATGTACACAACAACGACCCACATTCATATCCCCCCTTACGGCCCCCCATCCTCACCCCCAACCTCATCCCCCAATAAACCCTACTGCGCGGCGAGATCACAGCTCCCGGCGGCGGTAAGGAGGACACCGGACGGTCATCACTCATGTTATAAGGGATGTCGAGGACGAGGGAGTGGTACGCGGGGGAGAAACAACGCTCTGGGATATGTGTGTGTGTGTGTGTGTGTCTCAGCTTTCCCGGACCCATAAGGCCCCTTTGGGGACTACGGGGGAAACAAGTTTTACGGTGTTTTGGTCCTACCTACTTCCGTCAGGTCAGCCGGCCCGCCCGCACATATACACCAGCATATATACTAGGTTAGGCACTACTAGTAAGGCACGGACCATTGCCCCCGGGAGATCCCGGAATCGAGACCTGTCAGGGTCGAAAATCCTTTCGATGGTGGGAGGTAAAGTGCCCCCCTAGTCGATGGGCGGTGGTGACCTGGGATAAAGTTGACTTGCGAGCCGACTAGGATTGGAGTTGAACCGCCGTCGACCCGGCAGATTCCGTTGGATGCTGGTGGTGGGTACGGAACCTGAGCGATCCACTGAGAAGTTGACTAGGGTGACTGGATGAGGGTGCCCCGAAATACCGGGGAAGGCAGGGTTTCGCCGGGTAGCGGCCACGGGTGAAGATATGGCCCCCTGCCCCAAACATCATACCTGCATCCAGCCCTTCCACTCCTCCGTTTGCGGCCGATTGAGCAGCAGCGGCATTTTGAATGCGCGGATGGATGTGCCCAAAGCGACCGATGTGAGTACCACGAACAAAAAGATGAACACGTCACGGCTGTACGACTTCTCGCCCCAAGGTACGACAGTCGTACGGTCAGCCACAAAGTACCAAATCATGATCAGGCCAAACTCGACCACGGCACGCAGCGTGTCACGGTGCTGTATTAACGCGGGCTGCTTGAAGAGAAGACAGGAGATCAAGCCAGAGTTGGCCATGCTTTCCAGTATGCTGCCCTGGTGGCCGTGGGCCTTGTTGCTGTGCGCGGACTCCTCGGTCGCCGCAACTGCACTGTTGGTGGCGCCGATAGCAACCGACGGGGTGCCGCCGTTGGACAGCAGCTTGGAAGCTTCCGGGTCATCTTCGTGGTTGTGTCTTGCGGGCGGCCTACATGGGCAGCGTGGGAGGTTGAAATGAAATATTATGGAGGCCACAGACGCAACGTAATAACACGGGAGCGGGTGGCATGCACGTTCATGGGGGAGAAGTATTTTTGATGAGAAAGGGGATTAGATCCCCGTCCCAGTCCTCAGGCACTTTTTCCTCTTCTAAGGATGCTGCTCCTCAGAGGCCAGGACGAGTGCGTTTCCCGCTGGGTGATTTTCCATATTGAGCAACTTTAAGGGATCAAAAGACTTGCGCTTTGGTTCCGCAACCAGGTTCATCCTGAAGCCTAACAGCGAAAAGAGAGTTGATAACCCATTATACCTTCGCGCATGTAAGTATTCAGATAGCAGCCAAGCAAATGTTGACCATGCGAACGCTATGAAGAAGGTCACCTGCGGTGACCATTAGAAGCATGTAAAGTCGCAACAGCCAGCATCACTGCGAACGCAGTTGCTCAATATTACCTGACCAGAAGATATACCAGCTGTAAGGATTGTCATATTACTTAATATAACAAACCACTGCCTACTCTGATGGGGTCTTTTGTCAAACCGTAGCGCCAAACAATTCTGCTGCAATTGGCGCCAGATCTAATTCATGTTCGGACAAAGATCACAAAGCCCAACCTAAGGCGTTGGGACAGTTCCAGAGCGCGACCTCCTCGCCAGCATAAGGATGCGCTATAAGGTCAGCGCAAATCCTTCCGTGACAATCACAGCATGTTCTGAATAGAGGTCTAAGATCTACCCTATTAAAACTTGAAAGGCATGGGCTTGGTGAAGAAAGGCAGTACATTTACTGGACGAAGCCGTACATAGCTGTTAGCCAAGAGGTACAGATAAATAAAACAGACTTTAACAGTTTTCCTGTGTCGCTTTTATTTTATCCTTGATTAATTGGATCACATCCTTCTTGATTAATCTGCGCCATGGCCACCACTAGGGTTAGCGTAGGTTGTCGAGGGGTTTAGGGTTGGGGTATAGCGATTAGACATGCGGTTTGTATTGCGGGTTGCGGGTTGAGGCTTTGGGTTGGAAGGTTCAGCTGAACGAAGGCTTAGCTTTATGGATGGATGATGGTTGTTACAAGCTTCAGCGAGCTCGTACGGCTCAAACGAACCCGGAGGCTCATGAACCGCTTTGACAGCACCGGCGATAGGAGAAAAAGAGAAAAAGTAAACAGAACAGTTTTACGTAGGAAGAAATCGAATGTCTATAATGAAAAAGAGCGAAAAACTTGATTCTAGCAGAATTGCCTGTTATCGCAGAGAAAGTTAGGTAGCTAGGTGCTCATGCCGAGAACGAAACATCTCAAAAAATTGCCTTCGCAAGGCCGCGCTGATCATCCACTTGCATGACATCACGAATCTCCGCATTGACGGGCACACCGAGATCCCAGAGCTTCTTTCGCGCAGACACAAACGCCGGGCATTCTACCAAAAATGTTTCTCATCCTCAATAGCTCCGTTGCTACGACACGCAGTGCACACGCGATGCTCCCTAGCCCTGTTGCTCTCACTGTTAACCGCCTACCCTACTCCGTTTTCGGTTGTGTGCCTCTGACTTGGCAGTTACCAGTGAGAACTTCGCTTTACGTTTGAATGGATGAGGCCGTGATGCCGTAATAGGCCGTACGAGCTTTACGTTTTAAAGGATGAGGCCGTGAGGCCGTACGCAGCCATTTGCCAAGGGGCATAAATGGGCGAAACTAGGTATCCTTTAGACATACTCGCCGAGCTTATATCTTAATGCTATGTCAGCTGGATCATGCCCTTTTTGGCTAGTCTGCTCCATCAGCCTGCACCCTAGGCTAGGGTCTACATTGTTTGTCAAACGAAAAGCGAGTAAATGTCAAAGTATATATTGCCTATTGCCGCTTCTATAGAATCTGCATCATTTATCGGTGTGGCCTGATTTGTTAGTTAGGAATCGTCCCCGTAATATACCAGGGCACGACACAAATTTTATAGATGTGTGACGCCGGATTTTATTTCGCGTAGCTTTCATGCAACCTGGATCCAAAATGGGGCCATGGAGGGATACATGGTTCTGGGTTTCTACACCGTCACGAGGCTGCTGCAGGTTTACGATTTGTTGGGGCGAGCGGTAAATAAACCGCCTTAAGCAAAGGCTAATAAACGCTTGCCAGCAGTGAAATCCAAACCGATGGCGCTTCGCATGCCTGAACAAGCTTGCTTGTCGCGCCTGTAAAGCTAAAGTCCATAGTGCAATACCGGTATTAATATGAGAGGGAACCTCCGCCGCCAGGCTTCAGTATGACATTCACAACATAATTATTGCCAGCCGCATGCCGTGTGGCCGTATGCTTTAAATATGTAATGCGACGGCGTAGCCTTATGGGTTGCATTGGAGAAGGCATACACGCATACAGGGATGGCGATTTCCAAGCTATTGCGAGGTATTTGCGCCGCATACATCAGCTTCGGAAGAGCGAGACGGGCTCCAACAGCACAAAACTAACTTGCATGCATGACGGGATTGCACGAAGTGCGTGCCCCAAGCGCAATCACATCCAATAATTGTACCCACAAGCCTACCTAGTATAGTAGCGGACTGTTTTCTTACCTTTTGCATCGTCAAATAGCTGGAAAGTCTTTTCAACGTGGCGATGGTAATGAGCAACGAATGGGTAAATGGCGTCGTCACAAAGGATCCGAACAGAGAGCACCAGTAGTAGTGCTGCTTGGTTCACACGTGGGTTGCACCCACCATCGATTGACTTCAAAAAACAACTTATCAGTACATTACCTTCCAAGTAAGGAGCCTAAGAGTGCACCCTACAAGTAGCAAACCATTGCCTGTAGAAGGTCTGCTGCTCGCGCATTCTAACACACCCTGCAAATATAAATAGAGGTCAGCAGACAGGAAAGATGGTAGGGAAGCTAGGGCGATTCCTGCCGGGGTGCCCAGTCATGGCCCACGCGGGGACCCAGGATGATTGAAAGCCACAACGAAGGTCACAAATAACCAGGGAGAGGCTATCACCCACCACCGATTACTCGTCAGCCCCTATTAGCTACCCACCACCAGCCCTCACCTTGCGGTGCTAGCCCTTGAACCTGACACAGCTGCAGGGCACGCATGCAGCGCGCAGCTGGAACTCTACCTTGAGTAAATCAGTGGTGTTGAATCGACTTCCCAGGAAAGGTCAGCACCGCGGGGAGATAACTCAGGAAGACGTCTTGGACGCGGCACTACGTTGCAACCCAGGATACCACACGGGCAAAACAACCAGCGTGAAGCAGGAAGACAAGTTGGAGTTTACGACCCTCCCTACTGACGGAGATCGGATGAGGGGCCACCGGCCCAGCACACACAAGTCAGCCGCCCGCAACAAGCCGCAATGGTGGTACCCGGTGGTGGCGGCAGCAGCGGGTACATAGGGCCCCACTGAGTCCTACGGCAGTCGCCGGGGCAACCCCAGCAGGGAGGCGAAAGCATGGCCAACGACCCCCCGGACTCAGAGATCGCCGACCCCTGATCTCTGTATCTCTATTTTCCTGAACGACTTGGCTCAGAGAGGTTACCAGCCCCCGCTCCCGGGGAGGGTTTTGCGCTCGTGTTATGCCCGCCCTCGTGTTATGCCCGCCCTCGTGTTAGCCTTACGATAGCTGATGACACAGATCATCGTCGCAGAACACCGTTAGTCAGGATTCAAGTACATATGCCTGGGATCGATGCTACATCCGTACAGCCATTAAAAAACTTGCATGCACCGATGATGCCGTTTCCATGGCGCTAATATGTGTGAATGGTAAGTACGTTGCCAAGACCACCACGCCCCAGACCGGCCACGGCGGTATCAATTTCACCTCGTGTCCTCCAGCGGCATGTGTGGCTCAACCGACCAGCCAGAGCTGCTGACCATTGTTGGCCTGGCCCGCCCACCCGCAACCCTACTTTGTCGATCGACCAGCAGAAGAGGTGGTGTTGCGCGTCTATGTGCTGCGGAGCGAGTGCAGTACACACCACACGCAACACGCGGCACGTGCAGTGCGTCTCATTACTACTCCCGGAAAACATACAAACCCACATCACGTCAGTGCGGCACCATGCCACGCATGGGCATGCCAGCCAATCAGTCAAGTCATCAAAACGGGAACGAAGAGCCCATTACGTTGTCCCTCGCGTACATTACTAGCTACATACCATCGCGCGTTGCGTATCAGCTAGGGGGGAATTCGATTCACTTGCGCTGCCTCCGGCCAGCCGAATGTCACGAATGCCCCGTCGCACGCAGATAGAGTGAAGCTCGTTTTTGTTCAGTGCTATGAACCTCCTTCAGTGCTATGAACCTCCTTCAGTGCTATGAACCTCCTTCAGTGCTATGAACCTCCTTCAGTGCTATGAACCTCCTAATACTTCCAATGCCGAGCACCCCACAGCGGCTGGGGCGGTGGGGAATCCAGGCGGTCAGGAACGAAGGCATCTCATAACTGCCTGTGAGGACCGACAAATGGAGTGCGTGGCGGCGGCTGTAAGCGTAACCGCCGGCCTCCTGCTCCTAGCTTCATGTCATTCCGGGATGTCGATGTTCTAGCGTAGGACCGGCCTTTGGGTGGGTGGAATCGAAGCAGAGGATTTCTCCATAGAGTGAGGTTCGTTCCAGCACCGGGCTGGTCAACGGCGCTTGCTCAACATTGCCGAGTTGGTTTCCACCTCTCATTTTCCATAGATAAATCTGATACGTGATAGATGTCGATGGGGTCGACCCTGTCTCGTTAGACATCGATTTCTCTTTTACGACGTTTACTGAATCCTTTCTCTCCTATGTGATGTCGCCTGTACTGCGTGCCATTTGTTTTCCCCTATTCGTGCACTTTGCATATCCCGCAACGATCTCCAACAAAATGTTTATATGTGGGTTTTGATAGGACATCTCTCTTCTTGTGACTTTTATTTAGAAAAGACCCGAGTGCAGGCTACCGAAAGTCGAAAAGCGATCATAAGAAGTCCAGGTCTAAGAAGGAAAGTCGTAATAACTACACAGAGCTTTCAATACAGCTAGCAGATGCGTTGACAAACAATTGTGTTTGTGCTTTCCTTGGAGCATGAGTGCCATCCCTGCATGCTGCGGCTCAGTCAACGTGTTGTATACCTAGTTTGTCCATAACTTCGATAGCATGTACTTTATGAGATTAGGAAGATATGCGGATGTGAAATTGCTTGGAAACATGTCGTCCATTCCCCGATGTCGTCTAAACCGTGGTGGCTACTGGGCTGTCTGCCGTACCTAGTCCGTGCGTACACCTCCACCACCCAAGGATAATATTTAAACTATTCTGTACTTTCTTGTAAAGTATGCCTTAAAACTCACATGACTATCTTCCCAAGGCGAACTAAACAGGCACGCAGACGCGGCCTCGAAATCGATTCGATAGAGAGCACTTGCAACTTCGTTTTGCCAGGAAGCCACAATCTCATCAGTGTAATATAGGACATTTATATTTGGCAAACTCTGAGCTCTCTCCTCGGGACACTAGGCATCTTCCCCAAAACCGCGATGGCATTGCGACCTAACGAGCACGCAGTCCCGGTTCAAAACGGCGACTTCCCGCTCTTTCAGCCATCTACCAAACCCGCACATCATCGCACCCGCAGCCATAGCGCCCAATCCCGAACTTCGGCGCGCAGCCGCAGCCACCTGCGGCGCAGCTCTTCGCCCAGGCGCCAGCGCTCCTCCCACTCGCCCCCACGGCGCCCCTCAGCCGCGGAACCCTCCACCATCGCCATCACCGCCGCACAGGCGGCCATCGACGCCCTGCTCCACAAGCCCCGCCCCGCCTCCATTACCAC